CTGCACCAGAGTGGGAACTTGGGTCTCCACCACCCCCCCCCCCCCCCGGAAAAAGAACAACAAAAACAAAAACCTGTTTAGGGTTTAGGGTTGAGGGAAAACCTTCTAGATCCTTGGGAATCTTGACAGGTCAGTAGGTAGTAGGGAATTCGGAAGAACTCGCAAGTAGCTCTACACTTCTACACCTAGAACCTCAAAAAACACCCCTCTAAACCCTCGAACCCCACAATCCCCAACAGCCCTCTGGGAAGTTGCCTTGCTCACCTCGCCCCAGCGCATGTATCCGACAGGGAACCTTGTAGCACGAAAGGGTTGAGGGTTTAGGGTTTAGGGTTGAAGGGTCTCAGGGTCCGCAAAAACCCTAGGAACCCTAAACCCATTGAACCCTTTAAACCCGAAAAAAAACACTATAAACCCTGAAAACCCTAAAAAAAACGCCGGAAACCCTAAAGAGACCCTTAAGAAAACGAAGAACCCTAAACCCTATAGAAGTAAAAGCCATACCTAATGTCAATGAGGGGTCGAGCGTTCAGAGGTTGCAGGGCTTTGGGGTGGAGGGTTTAGAGTTCGGAGGTGGGGGAGTCGAGGGGGGGGGGGGGGGGGGGGGGGTGGGGCGCCCCTCTCTCTCTCTCTATCTCTCTCTCTCTCTCTCTCTCTCTCTCTCTCTCTCTCTCGACTTCTGGGTCCTACGCAGGCACCCTCGACCCTAAAGACCCTACAAAAACCCTACAGGCCCATAAGCCCAATAATCCCTACAAGCCCCACACGCCGTTTCCAACTAGAGTTTCGGTTTACCCGATAAAGCCCGATAATATCCCGGTTCATCTAAAACATAAACCCGAACAGCCCTATGAAGACTACAAACCCTACAAAGTCCATGAAGCCTATAAACCCTATGAAACCCTATGAAACCCTATAAACCCTATAAACCCTATAAACCCTATAAACCCTAAACCCTAAAATCCTAAACCCTAAACCCTAAACCCTAAACCCTAAACCCTAACACACACACGCACGCCCATTCTCAGACCCAGAATGGAACCCTAAACCCACTAAACCACCTCGACGAAAAAAGCCCTAAACCCCCTGACCCTAAACCCTAAACACCTTAAACCCTAAACCTCTTAAACCCTAAACCCCTTAAACCCTAAACCTTAAACCCTGAATCAACCAGCGTCTCTCGTTCCAGAACTGCCAAGAGACTTCTCGAGGTTCCTGGGCTGTGAACCGGCAATGCTCAGAGTTCATAAGGCCTGGCCTGAAGCCTCTGTAGGGCTTAGGGTTTAGGGTTTAGGGTCTCAGGTTACGGAAGAAGCTTTTGTTAGGAGAAGGGGTGGGGAGGTTTTGAGGCGCAGGCCTAGGACCAGAAATGGGTTTAGGGCTTAGGGCTTAGGGCTTAGGGCTTAGGGCTTAGGGCTTAGGGTTTCGGGTTTAGGGTTTAGGGGATACTTCAGCTCCCCCGTTGGGCTCGATGGGTGTATGTGAACGAGCCTTCTCCCCAAAAACCCTCAACCCCGAACCCCTAAAAACTCCTAAATCCCTAAATCCCCTAACCCCTGAACCCCAAAACCCCAAACACTAGTTTAGGGTTTAGGGTTTAGGGTTTAGGGTTTAGGGTTTAGGGTTTAAACCAAAAAATGACAGGTCATCAGCGTGCCAAGGTAAGCCTGGGCTCTGGCTGGTGACGGTGGAGCTCAGAATCTGCCAGTCCTCTTAAGGTTTGGGGTTTAGGGTTTAGGGTTTAGGGTTTAGGGTGTAGGGTTTGGGGTTTAGGGTTTAGGGTTTAGAATCTGCCAGTCCTCGCCCAGCATCCCAACTTCACCGAGAACGGTCAGGAAGTTGTCAACCTCTGTGCGCTTGAACACCCCGCCGAAAAGGTATACAGAAACAAAAAAGCACTGAAAGTGTCCTTAGCCCGTAGCCCTTAAGCTGAGCCCTGTAGCTAGTTCGAGAACCATTCTTGAACCCTACACCCTAAACTAGTAAACCTTAAATCCTCGCTACAAACATCAGCAAAAAGAACCCTAAACCTTAAACCTTAAACCCTAAACCCCACAGCCCGAAACCCTAAACCTGAAACCCTGAACCCTTCATTCTAAGTCTCAAGCCCAAGATCTAAAGCCCTGAGCCCTCGCTTAACCCTCGACCCGAGCTCGAAGCTCGTGCCGGGGCTTACACCACCGATGTCGGGGGTTTAGGGTTTGGGGTTTGGGGTTTGGGGGTTTAGGGTTTAGGGTTTAGGGTTTAGGGTTTAGGGTTTAGGGTTTAGGGTTTAGGGTTCAGAGTCTGGAGTCTAGAGACGGTGTTTGGGGAAGCTTAGCCGAGCTCTCCAGCAGCCTAAGAACAAAACAGGGGCGCCGGTCCGCCGGTTCTGTTCAACCCCGAACCAAGCGAATAAGAGTCCGACCTACCCTAAACCCTAAACCCCCTAAACCCTAAACCCCCTAAACCCTAAACCCCTGAACCTTAAACCCTAAACCCTAACGCGGTTTGGGGTCTAGGTTTTAGGACTGAGGGCTTAGAGCGGCTGTCAGACCTGTGCAGCTACTGCATGCACAACCCGCAGATTCGATGTCAACCCGTTTCTAGCGCTCACAGAATTTCGGGTTTAGGTCTAAGGGGTTTCCCCTAAACCCTAAACCCTAAACCCTAAACCTTAAACCCTAAACCCTAGATCCTAAACCTTTTTGGGGGATAGCGAGTCCAGGCTTTGGAGGCTTATAATTAGGGACTACAGGGTTTGGGGCCTCGAACCTGCGATGCCCAAACATCTTGCACAATGTTGGCAGCGTGCTCCACTGGTAAAATGATTTGAGATGATCATCAACCCCCCAAATGGGGTCATGTACCCCATGACACGCTAAACCTGCAGGTTTAGTAGTCGTAGTGTCAGGTAGGGAACCCTAAGCCCTAAACCCTTAAACCTTAGACCCTCATTAAACCCTAAACCCTAAACCCTAAACCCGAAACCCGAAACCCGAAACCCTAAACCCTAAACCCTAAGCCCTAAGCCCTAGACCCTAAACCCTAAACCCTAAACCCTAAACCCTAAACCCTAAACCCTAAACCCTAAACCCTAAGCCCGCCTGGCTGTTGATCATGAGGAAGATGAACTTCGAGCCGAGGCTTTTGGCCAGCTGCGCGGTGGCGCGCGCCTCTGAGAACACCTCGGCTGCGAGCTTGGGGTTTAGGGTTTAGGGTTTAGGGTTTCGGGTTTAGGGTTTAGGGCTTAGGGCTTAGGGTTTAGGGTTTAGGGCTAGGGGTTCAGGTTTTGGGACGTAGGGGCTTCGGAAGGCAGGTTTTTGAGTGGCTTCGGGTTTACGCCCACAAGGGCAAGCTGAGCAAAGGCCGAACCTGTGAGAACATAGCAGCGCAGAAACTAGGCTGCCCAGTAACCCAGGCTTAAAAAGGGTGCCCTTTTTTGCTTAAAGGGGTTTATAAGGGAACCCAAACCCCCCAAAAAGGGAATAAGGGTACTACTCATCCTAGAGAAACCCTCATGCCGAGGGAAGGAACTGAAGGGTTTAATGTAGATGACGTCTTTGGTTTGTAAGGCTTACACGGGCTCGGCGGTCACGGTGTATAAAGAATTCCTAGACCGCCACCTTTTTGGTGTCAAGGGGCTGTTAAGGGAACCGACACCGCCCCAAAAAAGGGAATTAGGGGTCTACGCTGGGTCCTAGTACGTAGCCCTAGACCCCAAACAGGGTTCAAAGTGCGTTGTTGGGTTTACATGCAGTAGCAATATAGCCGGCGCCTAGCGCGGGGGTTGCTTGGCGCCTCTTCGTAAAGATTGAGGAAGGTAGGCAACCGAACATCATCCCTTGCAGGGTTCCAGGAAGGATCCGACTTCCTTTTTCTGTCGTTTCTAAGAACTATAGGGTCGTTTAAGGGACCGGGAAGCTCATGGAGAGTCATTAGGTCCGGGTAGGTATCAGGAAACCTTGCAGAAGATTAGAGAGCCTACGGGAGTAGTTCGGAAGCTGTCTGAGCTCCAGGTTCCCCACCCCTCCCCCAAGCCCCGCAAAAGCCTACGAACTGCAAGTACGTAGACAGAACAAAATCTTAGGGCTTCTTCCCGATATGACCTCAAAGAAAGCCTATAAAAACCCTAAACCCTAAACCCTAAACCCTAAAAGCCCCTAGTGAACCGCAAGCCCTTAAGGCTCCAGAAGACATTTAGGGCGCAAGTCACCAGCCCTGCAGCTCCGATCTTCCACCCTCGCAGCCCTCAACCACGGCTCAGGGGTTTGGAGTTTCGGATTTTATGGCCCTCCCTCAACCCCAAACCCCAAACCCCAAACCCCAAACCCCAAACCCCAAACCCCAAACCCCAAACCCTAAACCCTAAACCCTAAACCCTAAACCCTAAACCCTAAACCCTAAACCCTAAACCCTAAACCCCAAACCCCACCCTAAACCCTAAACCCTAAACCCCAAACCCCAAACCCTAAACCCTGAACTCTTTGGGCCCCCTCAACGATCAAGGGGGTTGGGGGGGCGGGGGTGTCGCCGTCACGCGGCGTAGGTCTGGGGCATGTAGCGCAGACCCTGACCCTTGATGCGCTCCTGCGCGCCAAAAGACCGCAGGGGTGGGGGGCAGGGGTATCTGTGGGCTTGAGGAAGTTCAGGTTTCGGGTTTAGGGTTTAGGGTTTAGGGCTTAGGGTTTAGGGTTTAGGGTTTAGGAACATGAAGGTTCATGGACTAAGAAACCCTAATCCTTAGGCTCGAAATGGCCCCCAAATTCCTTGCAACCCGTGGCCTTGGTGTCGAGAAACCCGAAATACGAGTTCTTAGAGCCTTAAGGAAAAAGCCATGGGTAAGCCCTGAGGTTGAGAACTTCGAGTCTGGTGCACATCTCTCGCAAAGATTGTTACAAATGTGTAGCCGAAAAACACAGAGACCGTAAACCTAAACCCTAAACCCTAAACCCTAAACCCTAAATCCTGCAGCGCCCCAAGGGGTCCTCCTGCCCATCGAGCTTCGCCAGGTCCTGCACTGCGGTGAACAGTCCCTGGCCATAGGGCTCCACTGTGTAGATGCCTGGGACTACTAGGGAGTTAGGGGTTCTAGGGTTTAGGATTGGGTTTAGGGTTTAGGGTGGGGTTTGGGTGGGGTTTGGGGTTCTAGGGTTTAGGGTGGGGTTTGGGGTTTAGGATTGGGTTTAGGGTCTCGGGTTTCGGGACAGGGCTTTAGGGTTTTAGGGGTCGGTGGATCCGGCTTAAACTTACACTCTAAAGCCTGAAACGCTCAACCCAAAACCCTAAACGCCGAACACCCTCTACGCTTGAGCCATGGTTTGAGATCTTCCCCGCTAATTCGTCGTCGTCGTCGTCGTCGTCGTCGTCGTCGTCGTCGTTCTCGTCGTGCTCGCGACAACATGGCGGGGAGGCTGCGGGTGTAGGGTTTAGGGCTTAGGGCGGCTTTGGTGTAGTAAGGATTTAGTTTAGGGTTTAGGATTCAGGGTTTAGGGTCTTGTGTTTCGGCTTTTGATGTCACAAAGTAAGCTTGGTAGTGAGCAGGTGTTCGAACGTATTCAATAGTCAGTCTAATGATCAGTAGCACCATAGCTGCAGTTGCCCCAAGCTTCCGCCGAGAGGGGGTGAGCCCTTTAAGCCCTAAGCCCGAACAAGATCCCCCCGCCTCTTTAAGATATCCGGGTACCCTGCAGCAGGGGCGCGGGTAAACCTTCAATACGAAACCCACAGCTCTTAGTCATGATTTTGGGCCGTAAGGTTGAACTATGGGGTTCTCCAAAGATGAGGGTTCATGGGGGTAGGTACCTAGGGAGCCTTCGGGCAGCTTAGGGAGCAAGAGGGAGTGGCTCCAATTCTGCCTTCTGGGTTCTATAGACCTTTGAACACCCCCAAAAAACCAACCCAGAATTTAAAGGGCTCTTAAGACAGAGGTTCTGAAGGGGGGCTATCTTACCCAAGGTTCCCCAGTACTCCCTGCTACTCCCTAAGGCTCCCTTGAAAAAAAAACCTGCGAAGAACTTCGTCAAGCCCCGCAGGCTTCAGGGGATTTTCAGGCGGGTTTATGGATCTGGGGGTCAGGGTTTAGGGTGTGGATGAGAGCTCCTGACTCCTGAACCTAAGCCAAGTCTGATGTGCAGCCAAGAGGCAAACGGCCAGCGGAACATCAAAAGCAACCTCACTTGCTAGCAGGAAGGGTTCAGTCCCCAAACCTTATAAACCCTAAACCCTAAACCCTTTCTTATTTGGTCCTTAAGGGTTCTGGTGGCCCCAAACCCTAAAACATCCAGCCTTACCTACACGTACCCTAAACCCTATATGCATCCCCAGCCTGAACGGATCCAGGGCGTAGTATGCCCTAAGCCCTAAACCCTAAACCCTAGGCGTTAGGCGTGTGCGCGTGCGAAGTTTGAAGGGCTTGGGCTTAAGTTTTAGGGTTGAGGGTTGAGGGTGCAGGGTTTAGGGTTCGCGGACACATTGACAGGCCTTTCTTTGTCGAGAGTCGAAAGGACAGTATCCCAGCTTTCGGCAGGTCTCATGGTTGAGAGTTCAGGGCTTTGGGGATTACTTCAGGGTGTCTACCCTGAGCTGCTCGCCCTCAACCCTAAACCCTTTGAAAAAAAAGACCCCTTAACATGCACAGGCCCAACTAGCTTAGCGTAGTCGGGATCCGGGCTGTATCGAGATTTGAACCCTAAACCCTAAACCCTAAACCCTAAACCCTAAACCCTAAA